TGGCAGTAATATACAATAATTTTACTTGGAAATACATAATATTTATAAATACGTATGTATAAATTTAAAATTCGTCAGATAAGAACGTTTATCATGCAATACGCCATCGTAAAAAAAGAACATACCAATATGCAAATACTGCGAAAGCAACGGTATAAACAAGGCATAAGTGATCATACTTACAAATGTATAGCAAGCTTTTCAACTAACCGATACAGCAAATCATAATAATCGACTCTCGTCGAAGTGATGTGAAACATTTTGTAATAAGGTGCATCATCGATTATGCACAAAAATATTTGATAAACGTAACGCACGATACCTGGTCTTTGCATGACGGTAGTGAGACCACTCCGTCTTCTTCTATCACTAGTTCCACTTCCGCTGTTATTGCCATTTCCATCTCCGTTCCCGCTGTTGACTCCTACATTTAACGACGTAGCACACGGTACCAACGTTGGACTCCCGCTTTGTATCTTTAGTAGAAGAGAAATCCATCAATAGTTGCGGAAATTTGTACTTCGCAACTGTTCAAGTATGTTCCTTACGGGCTGTAAATGTTCTCTACTGCCGGGTTGGCTCCATCCTCCGTCTTCCGCGCCTGCAGAACCACTGCCCTGTTGTTGATAGAAAACGTGGAGATTCGCTCCACCATCCGAGGCTCTCCTTCCAAAACTCCCAGCTGCGTATAATTCGTTATATTTAAAAGAGTAAACGATCAGTTGGACGACGAGAAATGCATCTTTACTTACTTGCTCCCATGACTGGTGGAGGTTTTAATAAATGCTGGTCTTTGATTTGGAAGTTTTGAGGAGGTTGATGCTGAACCAGGGGAAGGTTCAATGGCAAATTTGTATGGGGTAATACTTGAGGATCGGTATTGTTGCATTGTAAAATAGGAAGGAGCCGCAATCCCGGATCGCCCGATGTATGATTGTAATTGTAAGGATATGACGTCGGTGGCTGGTGCGCCGTGTCACCAGGTCCGACCGTGTGCCTTCTCGTTGTGTGGTAAGGCGTGCCAGGTGTCAATTGCATTCCACTTCTTTCTTCCGTTTCTGCTTCCGTATCGCCATACTTTTCAACCGAAGATAACGCGTGTCATTCCATGTGTTAAAATATATATGATAGAATAATTTTTAATGTCTACCTTTTCCAACTGATGCGCTCCATCGGGTGCGTAATCCCCAGGTATACTCTGAATAGTAGGTAAGCTAGGCATTGCTGGTTCTAATTGGTCAACAAGAAGATTATATATCGCTGACACATGATCAAAAGCATTCCCTTGAATCGCTTTCAATAAAATCTCTGCGCTAAGCCCTGGTAATCTTAACATATTCTCTAACACTACTTGGTTTAATTGCGGTGGCACATTTTCGGGACTACACCTAAGAATTGTATCGTATATTAAATACACGACTAATTTAAGATTGATTCAGTTCAAACATAGTATATGTCAATTACCCTCCTGGTTCGGGTTCTGTTACCCCGTCTCCACCCATCCAAGAGTGTGCCAAGATTTGTGAGATACTTAAACGCCGTTCTGGTTCTACGACCAACATATGTCTAATCAGTTTCTCGCATTCTATAAAAGAATAAACGAGTGGATTAGTAGAAAGATATGCATAAAATAATATGGTAACAAGAATTGATATAAATTTGTACATTTCGTACCTGCAGACATAAAAAATGGTATCCTAAATTTCCCTGAGATTACTACGGATCGTAGTAATTGCATTGTGGGTCCATCGAACGGCAATGCACCACAAACCAGTACATACAAAACAACACCAAGGCTCTAGAGCAACGATTAAGATTTCTCATTAACAACTCGGTTACAAACAAGTTCGCCTATGTCAAAATATGACATACCCATACGTCGGCCCTTGGGCCATCGTAATGCTTCCCTTCAAAAATTTCTGGAGCAGCATATGGGGGTGAACCACACCAAGTGCTAAGCGGAACACCTGGAGTGTATTCATTGCTAAATCCGAAGTCTGCAAGTTTTATATTATTGTCTGCATCAAGTAGTAAATTCTCAGCCTGAAATAAACGAATAACGTGTACATGCTTATCTCGTTTCTCTCCGTACTCGTTCAGCAATATTATGAATCTGCTTTGAACCTTAAGATCTCGATGAACAACTCTCTGTTGATGAAGATAACAAACAGCAAGAACAATTTGACGAAAAATTCTTCTCGCTTCTGGCTCTGGCATTCTCCCATTTCGCACAAGGTGGTCGAATATTTCTCCTCCCGGAGCATACTCGGTAACTAAATATATCATCTTCTCCGTTTCCATCACTTGATACAATCTTATAATGTGCGGATGCCTCAATCGTTTCATTATGTGTACTTCACGAAAAATTTTGGCCAGATTCTCTTCGTTCAATTTCGTTTTATCTATTATTTTAATAGCAACCTAGAACCAACAGATCGTTTTTTAGAAAAATATCTTCTTAAATAAGTAACAGCAGATAATTCGATCAAGTTACTTTATAATCCTCGGAACGCATTTGTTATCTACAAAAAAAAGTGCACAAATTTTTCAAAATACTTAAGAGATCATTGAAGGTATTAGAGTTTTCATCTACGATTCTGATTTCATTATAAAGTTGACTGCGCTGTGTCGCTATAAAATTGATACACGAAGATTATTGTCGCGAGAAAACAGAAAAATATACAAAGGTAAAAAATGAAACAAAAATGAATGTAAGTTGAAAAAATGCTGAGCTTACGCGTACGTATTGCACCGATAACTAATCATACGATCATCGGCGCGAGTCAACATCATTTCTATTCACACTTAACAACAAAATTCAATCTATTATCATTAATAATGATTCGGAAAACATCTAACGAACATATTTCAATCGATGTGGTAGTGCCTGTTGGTAATATCGGTTCGCTGGACATTTGTTGAAGTTATTAGCTCCCAGCACGTTATGGCACATTATTGTCGTGCGGGGGACCTTTTTAACGCGTGAATCGCGATACAATTCGCGTGTCCATACCGTTATCCAAAGTTATAACGACAAAATGACGGGATCCGTGTTTGTGAGAAAAATGCATTAACAATGGGCTTACCTTCGATTTAGTGACAACGTGCGTAGCCATTTTAACAACGGCGAAATTTCCCTTGCCAATAGTTTTTTCCAATTCGTAATAACCGACACGTATAAGTTTGTTGACAGAAAAGTCCTGCGAAACCTCATTGTGCGACGTCGTCGCGGATGCCATTTTTTAATCACTTCTCTCGATCAACTCCTTACCAATCACTTACTGCTTATGCTTAGTTGGTAGACGTATCCGTGAGAGGCACCACTAACAATCAACGCCTCTGCCATCTGGCAAAATGATCCAAATTAAGGAACTAAAAGAAATCAAGATCATTATAGATTGATTAGAAAGTATATATACAACTTCCATTTCTTTGCCGAGCCACATCCTTTGAAAGAAATGTATTCATTTTCTTAGAACCGAATTCATAATGTTTTCTCAATTAATGAAAGCATTAAATAATTCTTATTAATTCGATCATTTGCTATAATATTTTTCTATAATAAATCGCTTCGGCTTTCATTTTCATCAAAATATTTAACAATTTGATAGCTCAAACTTACGCTATAGCATCAGTGCTATACTTCCATGATCGCGAGAATCATATGGTTTTATCTAACGGGACGTGGAGTGTGAGACAGAGGCCGATCCGAGAGAAATGTAAAAGGGGTGGTTTCGATATACTATATCCATTGATATGTGTATAAGTTCTATAGTTTAAGTATAGAACTCAATAGTTTGCTCGTAGAGGGGAGATAAACTCATGACCTACCTCTACACATTTACTACAGGACCAGAACCACTCGTATTACACTTCTCTCGGACCGCTGGTGCAGCTATTTCTTTTTACAGATGTTCACACTTTAGTTAGAATAAACATCAATGAGCGCAGCGGCCGGCGCACAGCATGAGCATATCATGGACCATGGACCTGGAGCTTATCAATATACATAAACAGTGTTATATGAATTTGTACAGTGATTTCAGCTATGCTAATCGCATGTAGAATCTTTATTAATATAATGAGCACATGGAAATTGTTACAGCGTCGATGTTACGATCTGCTTTCATACAAATATTCGCTGCTAGTGATATTAATAGCATTTACTTGCATATTTATCGGCATTATTCATTTCGGAGAGGTTAGAGAATTTATTATTCTATTATTTTTTTTACGAAATCTACTGTGTTAAAGTTGTTGTAAAATCTGTTGCATTAATAGACGCATAGTGACCGTATCGAAGAATCATTAAAGTCAATGTTTAACCATATACACGTTTGTTCGAACATGCATGTGTCGTTTATCGAGTCTGAATTGAAAATTTGAATTTGAATTTCGAATACTTGAAGGTTGACGTTTATTACTTATAATCTTTCAGATATGGATAACTTGGAGTAGAGAGAAATACGAAGCAGTATTTCATTCCTTCAATGATAATATATTAGGTGTCTCATTCCAAAAGAAATTATGCCAACATGTACCAATAGACGTTGTATACACATGGGTGAATGGCTCTGACCCAGCTTTTTTAAAGAGTCTTAAAGAACATGTTCCTATCATGGATGTTAACACAGCGGCTTCCAGATTTAGCGACAAAGATGAATTAAAATATTCGTTACGCTCATTAGAAATGTATGCGCCATGGATTAGGCATGTATACATCGTTACGAATGGTCAGATACCAAGTTGGTTGGACATGGACAACCCGAGAGTCACACTTATTACTCACGAAGATATATTTTTGAATAAAAGTGATCTTCCAACATTTTCTAGTCCAGCTATTGAAAGCCACATTCATAGGTAATATATTATTACATGCAGGATGAGTTAGTAAAAAATATGATTTAAACTATGTGCCGATCATTAATTTGATCGTAAAGCCTGATCAAGAATACATTTAAAATACAAGGTTCAGCTCATTCATTCAACATGTTTCGATCACATTATTAAATAAGTTATTACATGTGATATTTCTTATTGACTCACTCTGTATGTGTTCTAATGGTTGTATCTCTAACATATTTGACAATCGTAATTTTTACCTCTGCAGAATTCCTGGAATTTCAGATAAATTTTTATATTTCAATGATGATGTGATGTTAGGAGCTGAGGTATGGCCAGAAGATTTCATTACTCAAGCAGGTGGACAAAAAGTCTACCTAGCATGGTGGGTTCCTGATTGTTCAGATGTTTGTCCTTGGGCCTGGGTGGGTGATGGATCGTGTGATCCTGCTTGTAATACAACATTATGTGAATTCGATGGTAGCATTCATTATTTACATTTGTTTTCAAATAAAAGTTAAAAGATACATATGTATATGTAACTTATTAATATACGTGCACACTTGAAATAGCATACTTGTTTGTTCTGCAGGTGGAGATTGCGATAATACACCAGTTCCTACTGATAGCGAAGCAGTCGAAGAAGAAGGAGATTATCCACACAAGCTTTTACAAGATCCTCTAGAAAATTCTAACTACAGGTTGAAATTCTTTGACTTATTAAAAAATAGGAACATAAGTACCATGTGGAATGATACAGAAACCTTGACGCAACAAACATTAACGAACAGACCAACAAATTTAAGTCTGAATCTAAACGTAAATAAATCGTACCATTTAAGAAATCAGCAGATGAACAGCATTAAACGGCTGTTTAACGAACGATCTATTATGGAACTCGATCGAGCTCCATCTACTCAGAAATCGATATTATCGAAAATGATTAATAAAATAAGAGTTCAGGATGTAAATATTACTGAAAGGCGGTTGCAATTGAAACGTTACTTAAACAACGATGTCACGAGTTTGCCACAAGTTACTAGCACCATGATCAAAATCAATCATAAATCTGGTCATACTGATCAATGGAAACTTAGGACGAGACAGCTTGATACGTACGCTGAATCTTTGCTATATGTGAACAGAATTTATAACATGGCATACGGATTTGAACGTAGAAGAGTACCCGCCCATATGCCGCACTTAATTGACAAATGGATCGTTGCCGACATGCACAACAAATTTAGAAACGAATTTAAGAAGACATCTAGTCATAAAATTAGAAATTCGGAGGATATGCAGTTTGCTTTCTCTTACTTCTACTTTTTAACAAATGAAAAACGAAAAGTTCCGATCGAAGAAATATTTAACAAGTTCGATACGGATAAATCAGGGTATACACAATTTTACGAGACGCTAAATTAAATAATATATTGAAAATTCACATTTATGATTCTTTCAATTTCTTTTTCAGGACGTGGTCCGATAGGGAGATCAGGACTCTTCTCTCTAGACTTTATCCACTACCTCTTGATTACAGTCTAGTCGTCGAATTTGAAAACGCGATAACAAATTGCTCAAATCATATAAAAATTACTGAAGTACCGAATCCACCGCTTGGAGAGAGATATTTAGATTCATCTCTGGTAAGCAAGGTTTATTACCTTTGCAACTGTAACTGAAAAATTTAATAAGAAAACTTAAAATAACTTTAAACAATGAGTAAAGATGAAGTGCTTTATTGGTATTCGTAGCCAACTGTGTCAAAGGAATTGATAGCGAAATGCGAGTCGATCTCGAGAAGAATTGAAACGAAGTTTGGCGAAGGAAAACTTTACCCACACGAGGTGATCAAGGCTGGGAAAAATGAAGTATTTGAGATGTTAACGAGCAACGTGTCTTTAACGGTACAAATTTTAGACGAAATACGAAGAGATCCAAAGTAAGTACACTAATTTTATATTGCCAATAATGTGGTCTTATGATAGAAGGGTAAACTAATGTGAATTTTAGAAAATTTATTTGTTTAAATGACGATATGGATCCTCTTCGACGTTCTGAAAACGAAGTGGTCAAAGCATTGTTAAACGACTTTTATCGCTCTCTATATCCATTGCGCAGTACTTTCGAGTTGCCCTTGCAATATCGAAATCTCTTCACCCACCGACACGAACTCTACGAATGGAGAGCGAATCGTGCGAGGGCCAGAAATTTGTTGTTATGTCTTATTCTTTTATTGCTTGTTACAACTTTTTATCACTTATTTTATCATCAAGTGCGACGATTATTCAGAATGCGAACATTACCTACTTTACTCGTTTAAACAAAGAAGTACGAGATAAATAATGCAAACTATATACATATACATCCTTCGTATCTTCCACGATAAAACATATGACTAAAATAAGATTGTGTACATGGACAATTCCTTTAAAAATGCGCAGCACTTTAATAGATTCATATTCTTTGTTACGTGTCTTACGCGTACAAGTCCATCTATAATTTAGAACAAATACTCGAAGAGAAGTATACAGATCACGTTTTATGAAACTGACTTATCAAATTTTACAAAGAATCAATACTTTGTAAGATATGCCGAAATGCGATCAGATAGATATTTAGTACATCGTGTTTTAAAATTAAGTAAAATGTTCCTGTGATATTGATGAAGTACTGATTGTCTTTGTTTCCTCCTCTTAAATAAAACGGAAGCATAGATCTGATAAATTTTTCTACAGAACAAATACGTACGTGTACGACGACAAATATACTAATTTTTAGTCTATAAAATATAATCTTTAAGTAAGAAATTTAGCTTTATTATAACCATTTTGAGACACTGTTAGTTTATTGTAAAATATTTCTCTTCTACGTGTCTACGCCTCGTGTTGGAAGATCGCCAGTTAATGATCATTAAAGACTTACGCTATACCAAATTCGTACTTATTGTTAAAGCACTAAAGATTATGAATAAACGCCAGAGAATATCAATACATTAAATACCACTTTCAATTCCTGAAAGTTAGTGTTTATTTTATTTTTAAAGAATCATGTAAATAATTCTTTCGAAATAAAAACATGTATCATTTCTTATTCTCCAAATATTACTCGCATCCTATAATACATGTATAGTGATTAAAAAATATACATATTAATTATACGATATATTGCTTTATTTCCCTACTTATAATTATTCCTCTTACATTCAAGATTCATTAAAAAGAAAAAATAAATAAGTGTAGCTTTGAAACTTAAGGATGTATTTGCTATTGTATTGTATTGTATTGACTATACAGTCAATCCCAAAAGTTTATGTACCTTAGAAAAACGCATTTCCTATAATTGA